TCGTGGCTTTTGACATTTCCTTTTTATATTGCAAGACTTATTCTTTTGTGTGTGTATTTTAAATAATGTGGTATTGTTGATTTGGTAATCTTAACTTTTTTGGCAACTCTTCCTTGAGATCAGTACTCTGCCTTGGTCCGAAAAATCATGCCGGCGAATGTGCCAAATTGTGCTTGGGGAAAAGTAAACAACGTCAATTCTCTAGAACACACCTGACTAATTTACTTCATACAGGTTTAAAATTGATTGGTAAATAACAGACACATTTGATCTCTGACTGTTGCATTCTAAATTGATTTTGGTAAAAGTGTCTGTTTGTTTTTTCTCAGACGAAATAGAATGTCAGAGTTGGTGAATCTGAAAGAAAAATGTTTCATATAAAAAATGTATATAAAATGTATCTTATCGCTAAATATACATGGTACATGTATCTATTTGAAGATGAGAGCTATGATGGCTGTGCGTGTCAAGATGGCGTCAATGCACCCCACAATAAATTATCTCGGGATGTCGTTATCCTACTTTCAGGATGTTGACATTCCATAATAAACTATATCAGGATGTCATCGTGCCATAATGGATTGTCTCGAGATTTCGTCATTCTATTTTCAGGATGTCGTCATGCCATAACTAATGTTGTCGACATGTCGTCATCCTACTTTCAGGATGTCGCCATCATCTAATTAATTATCTCAGGATGTCGTCAATTTTACTGTAATATGTCGTCATCCTGTGATAAAATAAGTCAGTATCTGAACAAGTCGGATGGCACTTCCAGAGCTCCGTATTTTTTTATTCTGTTACTGTTATTTTGTTTTGCAAAAATAAGACGTATTTACTCACTCACCCTTTCCGGGTAAAAATCACGCAGCGATATGCGTACTTATATTGGTATGGATGACAACCAAGTAACACAGCTTACGCTCAAATCTAAAGGGGGCAATTAACCTGTCAAACTATGCAATTTTTTTTTTGTTCAGTATTTTTCCAAAAATAAGTTTTCATCATATAATACGGAAATAAAATTCAGTTTTTAAATTTAAGATACAGAGAAGAAACAATCGAAGGCTTTCTTTCAAGCCAGGTACCATTCGTCAGGCCAAAAGTAACGATTGGGTAGTGATGGAGGCGTAAGGCAGAAATTCTGATTCTTATTGGCCCATAATTTATTGACAGGGACATATAGTCCATGGGACCATTAGTCTTGAAACCGGTATCTACAGAGGGATTTCTCAAACTCTCTTTAAACTAACTAAGCTTTAACAACTATTTATCAAAAAATATTTTGTCTTTGATATACATAGACTGGAAGCGTTAGGCTATCTAATTTTGTTTAATTTGTATAATTATTTCAGGTCAATCGAGTCAGCAAGCAACCTGCAGCAGTTTTATTCAATTTCATAAGTATATTTTAAATCACAAAATGTGGGAAAGATGATCACTAAACATGAAAATAATATTTAGCGATCATATTTTCCTACATTTTGTGATTTGAAGTATAGTTATGAAAATATTGATATGCAATGAGTAATGAAAAAAAGTTTTAACTGGTTCACAGCCACATAGGTTTGTGCATGAATTGCCTGGTTTGTTTGTCATCCACACCCAAGATGCAGTGCGAATATTAAAAAGTGTTATTATCAAATTCACCTGCCGTGGCCTTTCGACGGGGATACCGTTGGCATGCTCTGCATATCAGTCGTTGAGCGTATTCGAACCCCGATCTCATGTTGAATGAACACGAGAGTGAGGCTTTGAATTACGAGAACCAATGCAACACGTGAACGGTGTTCGCGAACAGGATTTTTACTCCCCACTTTGGAAGTAGATGAACAACGTCATGACCAAACATGGTGGACCTAGGTTTCTACCGCTATTCACTTCAACGTCGTTAATTGACCAATCACAAAATGGCAACAAGGCTACGACTATTGCGCAGTGGTTTCTACCGCAATTTTTTTTTTGGTACATAAAATGAGAGCAATCATTCAGTGCAGCAGAAGTAATGATTAAAAAACAGAATTGTACGTTATCATATAGTTGGCTTGTCTTTGTCATCATTGTAGCTGTTCCGACATTAAAATTATATTCGAATAAAAAAAAAATAGCAGCTGCCATCTTGAAGTTTCGCACGGCTGCACTCCACACACTTCTAAAACATATTGTAAATATTTGTTGAGTAAAGCCTGTTTCATACTTAATTTTGCTCAATAATGCGTAACCTGTGAATCTTACTCCGAAAAGTTGATAAACGCGTTGTTGTCTACTCCGAGTTGGGCATGACAATAAAGTTAGTTTAATATTGGAAGTTGGACATTCACATTCGTTTGTAAAGGGAATATCTATGTTGCTGTTTGGATATTGGACATTGGATATGCACATTGGTTTGTATAGTAATTATTCTCAGACAACACACAAAACCACACGGTGAGAGTTGAATTGACTTTTTTGGCATAGATTTTTTGAGCCACTAATTTATTTCTCCGCGGTCAATATTTAACTGTATTAAATGTCCGTAAATACGTTAACAAGCTATAACATAACAATAATTACCTTTCTATTTGCTATAAGATGTTTGCCTTAGAAACATTTTAAACAGGCTTAAAACGGGGCACGCTTGCCCCAAACCCTTGCCATGCTTGGCATCACTGGGCCCAAAACATTGGCACACTTGCCAACCATTCACTAGCCCCACCAGAACAAGTGGATGCTAGCCAAAGTGTTTTGTCACGTGACTTAAGTATTTGTCACGTGACTTTGGTATTTATATGCCTATATTACTCAAGAATTTATTTGTAGTTAAAGCACACCGATTTGGTCCACCGATCCCACCGATCGTAGATACGGTTGGCATGCCCCATCAGTACAAATGGGTACTTGGCGTACTTTTTTACAAAGATTAAACACAACTTGTTATATGTTTAACGTCCAAACTCAAAGTCTTACTTAATAACTATTTACCCAACTTGTTTATTTAGTTTGAATTGAGGCACTGCCCGTCGCTCCCAGCGAATTTCGACCATTTATAGAAGTATAAAAGTATGGGGGGCGAAGGGGAGGAGGTGGGTTTATTTTTGATTTAGCGGTCTCAAAAAGCTAAGCCGAACTGGCCTTTCATTCACGGCTTGCACGAAGTACATCTGTGCACGCGCATGGACTTATTACATTTGTATCAATATCTTAACTCCCTTAAAAAGTTACATCGTTTTTGCCTATGAACATCGTTTTGGCTTAATGCCAGCAATGGAAGGCCAGCTGCAATTAGGGCAATCGATATATTTACTATTTCCACACCCATAGCTACGGTGGCCCACAACTGTCACGGCAAAAGCAAAAGCGCCACGGCAAGCGCAAAAGCGCCGCGGCAAGCGCAACAGCGCCGCGGCAAGCGCAACAGCGCCACGGCAAGCGCAAAAGCGCCACGGCAAAAGAAAAAGCGCCACGGCAAAAGAAAAAGCGCCACGGCAAAAGAAAAAGCGCCACGGCAAAACAAAAAGCGCCGCGGCAAGCGCAAAAGCGCCACGGCAAGCGCAAAAGCGCCACGGCAAGCGCAAAAGCGCCACGGCGAAAGCAAAAGCGCCACGGCAAGCGCAAAAGCGCCACGGGTTTATTGGGAAGGGGCGTAATCATACATGCCGCTACTACATCAAAAAATAAAATGGGAAGGAGAATGGCCGCCACCAGGAATTCTTATTAAGCACAGAATTTAATTCTTTGAGAAGTGATTTTATGGCCGAGAAAATAGCAAGGCCAAGGAAAACCGGTCAGGAAATAAATCGTCGATATTAATTTGTTGTAGGATAATTATTATTCTAAGAGAGTTGCTGCCGTGAATCAGAGTTTATCAAGGAGTGGGACTCGCTATCGGCACCATCAGGGCCGTTCCTCATTTCTTTACATTTCGTGGGATGCAAACAATTACAAGGACGGGAGGCTCTGTGAGCTGATGCATTTTTGAAAACATTTTTTTCCCCTTCCGACTAGCATGCAGAGAAGTTCCGTTAATTTGAGCCTTTTTTCACAGGTGTGTATACCAGTGTAGGCACGAAAGTGAGCTGCCCAGAGTGTATGAGTTAATTTGTTTTTCTTTTTCAGTATATCATACACATCTATAGGAAGTCGATTAAGGCTCTCCTGCAGGGCTGCGGCAGTGGGTGGGTAAGGCTTGTCAACACGTAACTCGCCCGCGGGCCCATTAGGTTAGAAATTCCCAGAGAGCGGGAATTTCAAAACTCTTCGCTGAACGTTGCTTGCACTGACCGGTTTTCCTTGCTATTTTCTCAGCCATAAAATCACTTCTCAATTCATGGTGGCGGCCATACTCCTTTCCATTTAATTTTAGATGTAGTGGCGGCATGTATGATTACGCCCCTTCCCAATAATCACGACTGAGTTGAAGATAACTCACAAATCGAGAAATGGATCGTTCTATTAGACAGTTGCAACGCTTTCGACAGAGGAGGTTAGGTCGTGGATTTCATGTACACTCTAAAAAATAGTTGCTCAATATTGGGTAAAATTACTACCTTTTCGAGAGTAAAAAGGGAACATGGTCGCCAACTTGTGTACTTTTTTTTACACAACAGCTAAAGTGTAGAAAAGTACCCATTTCTGTGTAACTTTTACCCATAATTGTGTTACGTGTTTGCACAACAAAGTTGGGTAAGAAAGTTTACCCATGTGACGACCATGTTCCCTTTTTACTCAATTATTGGGTAAACTTTACCCAACCCTCCTTTTACCCAAGTGTTGTGTCAGTTTCTTACCCAGATATTGGGTTCTAATTTTTACCCTGCATTGTTGGGTTCTAAATTTACCCATCACTTGGGTTGTTTTTAAATTAGTCGTTGTGTACCTTTGTTATTGACCCTTGCAGTTTTATTCAACTTTGAACTCTGCAATGTGAACTGCATGCCAGAGACAGCAATCGCGAGGGATTTCAATAACTGAGTCCTGGGTTGGAAAGTCAGTAAAATGAATAAGATCATATTTCCCCAAATATGGTGCTGATGCATGAGGACTATTACGAGGAGCGTGGGTTAATGATGGGCAGGGGTGTTAGAATTTCCCTCAATCAACTCATTCAAAAACAATTCCCCAAACGTCGGTCACTTTACTCCGTGTTTCCAGATCTGAGAACACTCACTTTACGGTACATGAAACGCATGCATCATGTGCATGGAATCGTGGTTGGCAGAGCCGTGACGTCCAAGTTGCAAACAAATGTCTAAATAATAAGCATGTCACTTCCCCAATCTCCCCGATATTAATCATCATGCATCAGCATCCCATTTGGAGGAAACAACACTGAAATTCATTTCACTGACTTACCGGGAACAAAGAAATCACGTCATCAAAATCCCCAAATTGTTGAAGGTCTCACAAGCGGCAGCCATCTTGTACATGAGTGATGACGCGTGCACAATATTGGGTAAACGTTGTCACGTGCGTCAGTTTACCCCGCACCGTGGTAACATTTAACTAATGTCTTGGTAAATTCTACTCTTGGACGTGTACAATGAAAGAATTGTTACACAGTGGTTGGGTAAATCCAGTTTCCTTAACCCATCACTTGGGTAATAATACGATGATTTTAACTTTTTGCCTGTGCTGCTGGGACTTGTAGTTAACGTTGGGTACTACTTTACCCTTTTCATGTGTAACACATTTGACACAAGTAGGAGGTACAAGCGAAATTCTCATTTTGCTCAATATTGGGCAGAAATGACACAATTTTTTTACACAACAGTTTTACACAACATAAATTTACACTTCTTTTTTAGAGTGTAAGGAACGTAACACAGGCGAAGACTTTGGATATAGAATAAGAAAGAAAGAAATTAACTTTAAAAAGGGGGGGGGGGTAAGGGAGAGACACTAAACAAAGGAGAAGTGTTATCGTTGAGATGCACAGTTCTAAGCTCTTCTATGAAAATTTGGTGAATCTGAAAAGAGCCGTTTGCTTTGTTTCGAGTGAATACGGAACTATTTGATGCCGGAAACAAGCCCTCTTTCTGCCCTGCAGGCTGATTCTGCGATGATGTGGAAGACTGTCCACAGGGCAACTCATCATCGCTATCGCTAAGCATCATGAGGTCTTGTTCGGCTTGTTGGTTTCTTGAGCCGGGGGTGGGTGGGCCAATGAGTCCTAGGTTCTGAGTTAATTTCTTTCTTTCTTATTCTATATCCAAACTCTGGGCAGCTCAATTGTGTGCCTACACTGGTATACACACCGGTGAACTCATGGGCGTCGCCAGAATTTTTTCTAAAGGGGGCAAAACATATTTTTCCCAAAAAATTCTTGTATTTCTGAACAAATTCTCGATTTCTCAGTTTTAGACGGGGGCAGAGACATTTTGCCCCCCCCCCCCCAACTCATTCAATTTACACCACTATGACTTCGCGCCTCTTTTTCTTTTCTTTTTTTCTCTCAGTTTTTTCCCCTTCCTTTTTTGTGTGCTATTCCAGGGGGAGCGCCCCCTTGCCCCCCTCGCGACGCCCATGGGTGAACTAAGTCTCAAATTAACGGAACTCTTCTCTGCATGCTAGTCGGAAGGAAAAAAACTCTTCAAAAAAATGCATCAGCTCACAGAGCCTCCCGTCCTCGTAATTGTTTGCATCCCAAAAAATGTAAAGAAATGAGGAACGGCCCTGATGGTGCTGATAGCGAGTCCCACTCCTTGATAAACTCTGATTCACGGCAGCAACTCTCTTGGAATAATAATTATCCTACAACAAATTAATATCGGCGATTTATTTCCTGACGTGACCGGTTTTCCTTGGCCTTGCTATTTTCTCAGCCATAAAATCACTTCTCAAAGAATTAAATTCTGTGCTTAATAAGAATTCCTGGTGGCGGCCATTCTCCTTCCCATTTTATTTTTTGATGTAGTAGCGGCATGTATGATTACGCCCCTTCCCAATAAACCCGTGGCACTTTTGCCTTCGCCGTGGCGCTTTTGCTTTCGCCGTGGCGCTTTTGCGCTTGCCGTGGCGCTTTTGCGCTTGCCGTGGCGCTTTTGCGCTTGCCGCGGCGCTTTTTGTTTTGCCGTGGCGCTTTTTCTTTTGCCGTGGCGCTTTTTGTTTTGCCGTGGCGCTTTTTCTTTTGCCGCGGCGCTTTTTGTTTTGCCGTGGCGCTTTTTCTTTTGCCGTGGCGCTTTTGCGCTTGCCGTGGCGCTGTTGCGCTTGCCGCGGCGCTGTTGCGCTTGCCGCGGCGCTGTTGCGCTTGCCGTGGCGCTTTTGCTTTTGCCGTGACAGTTGTGGGCCACCGTACATAGCAACCATCAGCTCATTAACAGAGAGTTTGAAACTCCGCCGGCCGTGTGTTGATTTTGTCTAGCCCCCCCCCCCCCCCCAATAAATTCCGTAAAAAAAAATTGCATTAGCAAAAAGAAGGATTGTGATGTACATGCGAACGGTCTCCCCCTAAAAGAAATAGTCGTGACAAGGGTGCATTTGTAGTTAATATAGTGTGAATGATTTAAGGATTTTATTGGCGCTTCCCATTGAAAAAATGCCCCCCCCCCATTGATTTTCGGAGGCCTAAGTGTCTGGAAAAAATAACATGTCTAAATTTCAGCACGCCTCCTGAAAAAAAATCTGGATCCACAGTGCTAGCCCCCCCCCCCCCAAAAAAAAAAAAAAAATATTGGTTCTAGAACCGCGCCTGGTGTGTTCGTGGAGAATAATGTATTTTATCTTTCAGTGATAGCATGAATTATTCTCAGACAACACACAAAACCACACAATGAGGGTTGAATTGACTTTTGGGGCATAGATTTTTTGAGCCGCTAATTTATTTCTCCTCTGTCAATGTTTAACTGAATTGAATGTCCGTAAATACGAAATGGTTTCGTGGCTTGGTTTTCATATTCCTCGTTCATATCAGAACTCTCTATACCATTTTGGGAAATGGTTACTGAAAACAAATTATCATAATTTTTAGCGCCAGTTCGGTTTTGATAATTAGAGGGCACATTTATATCCGCAAGAGGGGCACTTGGGTAAACGGGGGGGGGGCAGTGTCCAGTTAAAACACAACAACAAATATTGACAGTACATTCTAAACAAAATCATGAAATAAATATTAGGTGTCCATAATATTATACGCCTTTACTGGTATGTCGACTCATGGCTGCCACTACATCTAAAACATTACACAATGAGCACCATGGTGCCATAATGTAAGTGAACTACATCTTGCCAATTCCGTTTTTATTATTTTATTCTTGATATCAAATCATGAAAACGGGTTTCGAATACCCCCATATTGTGCAGACAAAAAAGGTGATCTGCGAATGCACAATAAAAACAACTTCAAGGGCTTGTATTTGAAATCTTAGTCCAAGTCATGGCCTATGCGAGTGCTGGCCTAATGCCCAGTTTATTTATTTATTTATATATTTTTTATATCTTCGGACAATAATTAAAAATCTAAAAAAAAAAAAGTAAAATTGTTCATGGTCTAAACAAAAGTTTGTAAAAACTGTCATCAAAGATGTGTCAGACCAATAGAAAAAAAAAAAAACATTTTTATTCACTATAAATAATGACTGTGTTCAATAAAAAAGGTTCATACCCGGAAAGAATGGAATTGAGAAAAAAGCAGGCGCCCGGTTTAAAAGCTGTAACCCGAAAAGCTATGATTCCAGGGTTATAGGGCATACTTCTTTCTGACTGATTTGAATGAAGATAAAGAAGTCTTTGTTGCCTTGCATGAACAGCACCTTTCGTCTTTTTCACTCGTAGTTTTAAGGACATACATTTGGTTCTGACATGTTTTCAACATTCACACGAAAGGCTGTTACGATTCAAAGAAACATTGCACAAAAGAAATAACAACGACCCCTTACACTGAAAAGCCGATAGGTAAAATATAACCTGTAGAAGACTATGAACGCAAAGTGAGCGTACTTTATTTAAACGGTTAATAGAACTCTGGTGTGACCGTGAACCCAGTTGTAAAATTTGAAATTTAAAATTTGATTATGCATTTTGTCTTACAACACGACTGGTCAGTGTTTTAGGGTTACTGACTGTCGTCCAATATAAGACAGAACTGTTCGTTAGCGGGCGTCCTTTTATCATGGTCTCACTATAATTGTGATCATTCAGGATTTGGTTCAACGGAGAAGCGGACGATCTACTAAAATGCTTTGCAAGTACATCGTCTATATGTTTCCCACTCTTTGGAGAGATATACTTGTTACAAAATTGTTAACAAACAAATACTCCATGATTTACCAGATGGTATTGTGCAGCTTTTGTCGTCATATATGAAGTATTTACCCAGGGAAAATCCGTCATAACATTTTCTTCATATTGATGTCTTTATTGATACAAAGTGCCGGTATCTTTAGTTTGTGTTTTTCATTTTTATAAAGATTTTGTTTGTTGGAAAAGTATAAGGTAACACTTTAAATGACTAACTATAAAATTTAACTTTGCACACGTTTTCGTTGTAACATATACTTCATCAGATGCAATGAAAAGGGGCATCATCATGCAAGGTTTATATCTGGCCTTGCACGTTATCTGCTGCCAGCGTACCGTCGTCTGGTAAGCACTATTTGGCTCGTTCGGGAACAAAACAAACATTGTGTCGTAAGTTTAGTTTTGTAAGTTGCGCAAGATATACTATGGTATAAATAAACCATAGAAATATAGTGTCATTTTCATTTGTTGACTTCCCTTTCCGACGAATTTTTTTATCTTAAAGTTGTATTCCTCCTATATAGACAATTCCATCACACATGCTATCTGACCCAATAAGGCGACCCTTGCAAGATCGGTAGTCTTATCTGCGCCTTTATGTCGTGGTTGTGATTTCCTGAGTCCTATAAAAGTATGTCAATTAATGGGGAAAAACAAACAAATTTTCACTTGACATTTCCCCGACGCAAACATTTATTTCATGAAGTTTTTAGTGTTAATAACAGAACAATTTCAAATCAAACAAGGTAAAACATGTTTTACAATGTTTAGATTGTGTTTTCATATTCGAAATTTTAGGATTTGTTCCGATGGGGAAAGAAATGTGCTGCAGTGATTAAACGTTGTGGTAGTAAAGAGTTTTGGTCTCATTTTGGTTGAAAGAAGAAAACTGTTAGTCTCATCACCTGTTTGAGAGTAAATTAACGGCCTTTACGTTTATATTACTTTGGGTTTTGATTTTCGTTTCTTGCATCCACTCAGAAAAGTTGAGGTGCACCATTTCTGAAATTGACTGTGGAGATTCTGTGTGTGTTTCTGGTAACGGTCGGTGTGATGGTTTGTCGGACTGCATCGACGGAAGAGATGAAACCAACTGCGGTGAGAAGGTTTTGGAATTATGATGAAATGAATTGAGAATACATTGTACATGACAAAAATTGACAATATTTAATAACAGTGCTTACATTGTTGCTGATTTGACCCCAAAAAATACAAGTGGAATACAAACCACGTTACCATATTAGTGGATGTTACGAGAAAGAACAAACTTATATTCAGCTTGATTCTTAATTTTGAAGCTTTTTTTCTCGGCAATCGGGTATAATAGTCAAGAATTGAGATGTGTTGAGGGCTATGGGCACTTTGGACCTCATTTCCTTACCTACAAACCGACTTACCTACAACAGAAACATAATCATAATAAACTGGTAAATCATAATAAACTCTTTTGGAGTTGATTCAGGAATTTATCATGTCAATATAAATTGAATTTATAACTCACACAACCGAAAAGAGATATTATTCACGTGGTGTTACCGCAAACCTTCAATTTATTGTTTTGTAAAAAATTGAATTACTATTTTATTTTGTTTATTCGACCTTTTCATTTTTTAACCTTGAAGCAAGGTGCGAGGGTCGTTGTTTCTTAGATGGACCCAGGGGTGGATGCTGGTGCGATGATGTGTGTGAATCAGAGAGAGATTGTTGCTCTGACTTTCTTGCCAAATGCAAGACCTTCCTGAACTTCACTACTGCCCCACCAGGTAACAATAACATACCTTCAATGTATCGATCATACTCGTAGTTTCGAATAAATAAAGAAAGTATTCACTCCACTGTCTTTTTCTAGATTAGGGATCTAAGTCAAATTTTGTTTTTTAGAAAGTTGAAATAAACAGTTAACTGCTAGACTTATTAAAACTATGCAAAAGACTGTACTCTTGTTATATTCAAGGGAAGCCACCGTAAAGATCAAATATTTATGGCGTTTGGGGTCACAAGACGAGCAACTTAGTGGTTATATGCATCTAAATTTCTTACGAACATTTTTGTTTTTAGACATTATATTTTCTTTATACTTAATAACTAGTACAACTGCAAGCGGTATGACACTAATAATTTGATATTCGGTTCAATCCATTAATTTGCTGTAATGTGGTTTTGTCTTGGTGACTGTAGAGTAAGGCTAACACTGAGGTAAAAAGCTTGTTAAGCTATTTTTTTTCTTATTCCAGCCGTCGACGAATGCAATCCAATTTTACCGTCACATAATTGTGATGTAAACGCAATCTGTAGTGACACGCCGTCGAGCTTCATATGCACCTGCACTTCAGGATTTGTAGGAGATGGTATAACTTGCGCAGGTAATGAATTCGTTTGAAAACGTGTGAATTCAGAGAGGGCTGTGTACTGGTTTGACTTTGCCAACAAGTGGGCTTCAGATTCAATTTCAAGATCAGAACTTTCAGAAGACAGGACTATGGCGATATTGAAGGTCCAGCCTAAAATAAGAGCTATAATTCTTCAAATTATGCTTAAATTCTTTTTTTTGGCAGATGTGCAGTCTCCAAACATCACTTGTCCCGCCGACCTGACAGTTTACACTAACTGTCGCAAGAACTATTCAAGAGTCTTGCTACCCGAGGCAGATTCTGTCTTCGACAACTCGGGTGTCTCCTACATTACAATTGATGTAGATGGCTCTGCCTACGACGCTTTTGACAGTGTCAACCTTGATCTCTCGTCGTCACCGCATTTAGTGCACTACAATGCAACCGACGAAGCGTTTAATTTTGCACAGTGTGAAATGCACATCACAGTTGCTGCGCTTCAAGGTTTGCCCACACATTTTTCTTTACTATTATAAATACGTTGTTTTCATTATTTGCATAAATTGGCTGAAAAGGCAAAGTAGCAACAGTATGATTAGTAATACCATCTGAAACAATAATGAATTCAGAAATTCTCGGAAGGTTATAATGGCGCCAGACTGTTCCACCGTTCATGTATGGGCTAATCGTTAAGACAACTCCAATCCAGAGGGTTCAAAAGAGTTTCTATAGGTAATGGCCTAGGGTGACAGCTGGAGGAGTGGAGGTACTGGTGGGTGTCTGTGGGTTTAGAATAGAGGTGGTTATTGAATTGTGTTCCTTCAGGATGGTGACGTCCAGGAAATGGACCTGATGAACTGAGAACTCAGATGTGAACTTGGAAGAAGTTCTGTGGAAGAAATTTATGTGGTTAGTGAAAGTCACCAGACTGTCATCATCAACAGTCCAAATGAAAAACACATCATCAATATATCTCCACCAGATCCAGGGACGACAAGGTGCCGAGCCATGCACTCCTCCAGCTGTCACCTAGGCATTGTAAGACAGGTATAGCGTGCAGCCAGGCACTCAGAGTCCGAATGATTTGTTTCGTGATTCTGATTTCTTCCATCGTGCACAGGTATCGAACAATAACTTGGTTGCCAGGAGGCACAGCTCCCGCCAAGTTCAACGTGCTATTACCAGAGCCAAAGCTATCACCAGAAATTTGGCTCTCCAAGAAAAGGCTCCAAATGCAAATGTCAACCCCACCTTTCACCCCAGTCTCCATCGTCTTCGTAAAATCACTAATGACAGCCATTGAATTCTCCACACTGCTCAGATCGCCTTGCCCGCGCCATACCTGACACCCAGGCGCCCGCGCAATCAACGAGACCTGATTGTTCGAGCCGAAGTCCCCACCTTGGATACATCCCCTCCCATCCAGCATGATACTTGTCATTGCAGTTCCAGATGTGTTGTTTGCCAGATCCACATCGAAGAGTCTGACTCCTTTGCTGGCCATTCTTCTGGCAGTACTCACAGAACCATTGGTAACATCACTTGCAACACCTATAATGTCATATATCTCATCTCTTGCAGGGTTTGTGGAGTGCAGTATGTCGGTGATACCAAGAAAACCTTCAAGAACAGTCATCGATAGACTGTCAACACCAAGAGACTGGACACCATTGTTGGTCACCATTTAAACCTTCCTAGAAATTCCATTTCTGATATGATTCTACAGGGCATAAAATCACTTACCCATCGCAAGGACTCTGTTTGCTTCCACAGGGAGAAAGTGTGTACTGTCTTCGGACCACATGGGCTTCACATCCAACTAGAAAATTATTAACCATTGTTTTTCTTCCTGGATTGTCATTTGTTAACTATCATTCCGTTGCCTATCTGATTCCCTACATGTTTGTTTCTTGTACCTCTGTCATTTTTCATCTTAAGAAGGACTTGTTAAGTTCGCAATGTCAGGCCGCATTAATGTTTTAGATTTGTATAGTTCAGGTCAATCCAGTCTGTTAGCAGTTTGCAGCAGTCCTAGTAATTTTCAATCAATTAACAGTGTACCACTGAAATAACCCGGTCTATCTGTTTGATAGAAATTTTAATTATATATTCCAAACTATTTTATGAACTTGTTGAATATTTGTTTAAATATATATCACTATACTTTGTAATCTGTGAAATTACGCATAAAATATTTTCAAAGGCAACCCTGAGACTTAGTGTTTTATAAATCAAACTACATATGCAACCATTAAATATAATTGCGTCTGTGGTTGAACACCTGTCGTTAACAGATGCATCGTTCTGCACATCAACTGCCAATCCTCCAAACTGCATCTGTCTGCCTGCCATGGGACAAGGTTGCACTTGCTCGTCTGCTTACTGTGGACACGATTGTTCTCGTAAGTTGACAAGATAGAAATAAAAAATAACAGAAATGAAAAAGGATTTAAAAAGGGGTTTAACCTAAGGCGTTTCAAAAGCACTCCCTGCTAGCTATAGGGGGTCCGAGGCGTGCCCCCCCCCCACCCCAGAACGTTTTGAAATCTACTGTGCTTTCTCTTGCATTCTAAGGCAATTTGAGAATAAATTTAGGAACTTTGGTATTCTATTTATTATTATTTTCCCCATTTTACTGGTACTTGTATCATAACATCAGTCAGCTACTGGAGGGGGGAGGGGGATAGGGGGTTACAACCCCAATCCCCTCTAGATCTGCTACTGATACTGTGCTGATTTATATCACATATCTTAAATATTAAACTATAAGACAATTTGCTTTTTTTTTATAAATGAGATTGTTTTGTTATAAATGAGATAGTCCCTATTAAAAGTACATAAAAAATTATCTCTGCTTGAATTAAATTGGAACAGAGTCGTCAGAGGGTGTTCAGTGCACCGGTCCGGCTATACCGTTCCCAAACTGCACAGATGTTGATGTGTGCGATCCAGGACACTCGGGTCCACGCTGTACCTCCAGTAAGTTTTTTTTTGTACATGTACTTTATATGTTAAATCAGCTTTTATCCTTCAAAATGAATGCGAACACAATGACTCCACTCTTGCACGTGACTAATATAGAGGATATTGTGGCCTGTTGCTTACAGATGGTGGCCTGTTGTTTGTGTCACAAATCCTAGGGGTGCACGCCGGTAAATCCATCCGCCAATCTCATGAATAAAAGTTATACCCTCAAAATATTCTATATTAGAGAGTTCTGAGCACCGTAAAATTGGGGAATTGAAGAGATATGGTGATGAACCGCTGGCCCGGACTCGGGGCTTCCAATTCTGAGCATTTTGGATGCTATTGGGTTCTAAAGTGGCGCTGTTTTGCCATGTCGTGGAAAGATCGTTTTTCCAGATGGCTACTTTTCCGCTTTGGGGAAAATAGGGGTTGTCTTCTTTGGGTGAGAATATCTCGAAAAGTCAATGGTCAACACACCAAAAAATGAAGAAAAAGAAACGAAAGATGACATGTTGATCATCATTTTTCTGTGCAGCTTGATTACCTGTGAGAGTTCTGATTATTTTTAAAAGAATGTTGAAGTATAGGCATTAAGCACTAGTGTCTATGGGAATGTATTTGCACTGTTGCATCCCTAGCACACACTGTAACTGGCGCAGGAAGTGTGACATAAAGAACACTACCCCCAATTCCTCATTCTGATACATACACTTTAACCCCTTCTTGTTGTATTCAAGATGACGACAAAGTTCAGTGTCCCGAGATTGAGAACAAGTGTCTTGAAGGGGGAGTCTCTGATGTTTTTGTCAGTTGGATACTTTCTGAGGAAATAAACCCTGCTGACATCGACTGCATTGATTTCGCTGGGAACAAATCCAATGTGAAAGCTACAGGAGGAGTGTTTGGTACAGGACATCACGATGTGGTGTGCGTTTCAAAAACCGGTGCCTTTCCGGATTGCCTCATTTCTTTCATCGTTTCAGGTGAATTGATTTAGTATATATCATTGGTTATCAACCATATTGATTTACGTCACATAAAAAAATCATATTTGTTGGGTAATTTTGAAAGAGGCTAATAATTATCAGGCATAAAAGAGCTGTGCCACCTTAATTTATATTGCTGTTGGTATCATGTTGGTACGACAATATTCATCAACTGAAGGTGGTGTTTGAAAATAAAATCTGCAAGATTATTTGATAAAAAGATTGTTTTAGCTCATCTTATTTTCTTGATGAACAAAATTGCTCATGCACATCTTTCACCCTCTTTAAATTATGAAGAAAAGGTATTTCATTTTAATGCAGTAACGATTTTTTCATTAAAATTTGCTCGCACAGCATACCCAATCCTCGCAGTACCAACAGTAGGTCATCAGTGCACGGATCCAGGCATGGACACATCTACAGTGACATGGACCGAGGTTCATGCCATGGACGCTGGTGAAGTCTCCATCGATTGCACAGATTCTGGTGATGGCGTTGGTGTCGGTATTACAGGAGGTGTATTTGGATTGGGAAATCATGCCATCACCTGTATTGTTACCAATTCTGCTGGATGTGTGACACACAATGAGTTCACTTTCACCGTCAATAGTAAGAGTCATTTGCAGACAGTTCCATCGAGCAAACAAAACATGTGGTAGATAATTCGTCCAGTCCAAAGCAAAAGGATGACTCGTAACTAAAACCCTCTAAATGCTCGCATTTTTCAATCGGAACTTGCGATACCCCATTTTATTATAATTGTTATTTGTTTAATTATTATAATTCCCTCCCCCATTTCAAAAGAGAAAGTTGTCAACGTGTAACACTGATCAGATACACGAATCGTTTGCTGTAAACACGTTCTTTTTCCCGAACCGTTATGAGATTTACAAAGAGTACGCTGTGCAAAAAAACAACTGAATGTTCACATCGCGTTTGCAAGGACTTGTGGTACACCATATTGCATCTTACTAACAGACAATAGGTACATTAGCATCTCGTACGTTACACAATAAAAGGAAGCATTATCTGTGTTTATTTAATCTTGTCGGAAAGTGAGTTGTTTGTCGAGGAAGCATTTTGCATAGTATCCAGGCTGTATAGGGGGCATTATGTGTACAAGACTTGTTTCCAGCCAGTCGAGTATTGGAGAACGACGTTGGTTCGTGTATTCAGATTTCCTGCTCCAGTTTCTCTAGTCATAACAACGTGTGAATTTCACTTAAGTGTCAATGAAGAAGCAGTTTTTATAGTATTTATTTATTTTTTTATTTTTTTTTGTAGAGGGAAACCTGCTACCCTTTGGCACAGCGAGTGGGGATGCCCTACTGTCAGATGTACCCCAGGAGGTAAGTGAACAGGAAATGTAGAGTATGCTGTTGTCGTAGTTTAAAGGAAATCTTGATGTCATTATATCCTCAAATGTTTGATTTGAATGGATTTTCTTCTGATTTCTTGATGGTGTTGAGACCTGACTGTTACATTAAGATCTAATAAGACTGTTTTATTGTTACTCATTTAACAGCTGTTTCTGTCAAGTAAGGATTTGATATCACCTACCATCTACCCGCCGGATTTCTTTCCTATCTGTGATGGAATGTACGAGAAACTGTATGTAAGTACAAGTCGGTGTTATAAACCTGTACGCTGAAAATAATAAAGATGTGTAGCTTGATGGTTTATTACCATATCATTGATTCCCTGATTAATTTATTGTAGCTATTTCATAGTTTGTTGATAACCTAAGAGTATGCCCAGTTGACGGCCAACAAAAAGTGCGAATACTGTTTTTTTTTATTTGCAGTTCACTGATAATGGTGTGATTGTCTTTTCGAATGAGCAAAGTCTCGACAAACTCGCATTTCCAAGTGCACCAAGTAATGGCTTCGCTGGCAACAAGGCAATGATAACTCCATTTTGGGCCGATGTCAAAGGCGATGCTTTCAGCCCAACCAGTAATGTTTTCTGGCAGGTACGTTTTCCACATAGTTCTGTGTATATATAGCTCTCTTTAATTTGGATCGATTTGTTTGTATGTGCTTTGTTTTTGGAAAATTGTTCAAAGGAACGCTTCTCAGTGCATCGTGATTCTGAATGAATTGTGTTGAGGACAGTCTTTACTAGCAATTGTGAACAGATCAATACCAACTGTTTTGGCGATAAATGATACTCACTTTTGTGCCTTTTGATTTTTTTAAGGTTTACAATCAGTATGTTGAAAACGTCAACCAGGACATGCTGGATATCATCGGTGCTACCGTGTCAACAAAATCCAGCAATTTCTCAGCCAACTGGGCACTTGTTGTCACTTGGAGCAATGTTCGAGCAATTTCTTTTTCTTGTGTAGGTAGCGCCTTAATGGAAAATAAAATGAAAAAATGATAAAAACTTAATAAGAATGCAAATGAAATACATCCCAAACTAGGTGCTATACATGTCTTAACTCCTTAAGACAAATCTAACAGCAAACATTTACTCCATATCACTAGGCAGTATATGCAAAGCAGCAAGTCAGAACATGCAACAAAGTAGGCAATTCAGACAAAGCAGGCAAGTCGGACAAAGCAGGCAAAGCAGGCAAAGCAGGCAAGGCAAACAAGAAGGCGAATTGGCAAAGCCTACAAGAATGAAAGTGGGCAAGCAGGCGAAGCAGGCGAGGTAAACAAGAAGGCGAAGTGGGCGAAGCCTACAGGAACGAGAAGCAGGCAAACAGGCAAAGCATGCAAAACAGGCTATGCAGATAAGGCATGATAGGCAGGCAAAGTAGTCAAAGCAGGCAAAGGAATCATAGCAAGCATGGCATGTTAGGCACTCGACAAAAGCAGGCTAAGCAGGTAAGGCATGCAAGACATGCAAGGAACGCAAGGCATGCAAGGCTTTCAAGGCACAGGGGAAAGCAGGCGAGGCACTGTGCAAATTAATTAAAGCAGGAAGGCAGACAATGCACACAGAGACAAAGCAGGCATACAAACGTGTGTTCACCGTCAATCGTGGACGTCCTATTGTCCTTGTTTTGTTTGTACTGTAACTTTTTAGGAAGACTCCCAATCGCGGACGTATGCTGGGAATCGTGGACGATATTGTTCTCTTTTGTTCTCTGGTATTTTTCGACCACGGTTTGAAAAGATGAACACGTACAAACAGACAAGCAAGCAAATCAGACAAATTAAGCAGGCAAGGCGCGAAAATCAGACAAAACATGTATAAGGTCGGAGAATCAGGCATCATCAGACAAAGCAGGCAAGGTAGGCAAAGCAGACAGAGGCAAAGCAGACAGAGAAAAAGCAGGTAAGCAGGCCAAGCAAGCAAACCTGGCAAAGCAGGCAAAGTGAGGAAAGCAGGCAAGGCTCGCGAGGCAGACAAAGCAGGCAAAGCAGGCAAAACAGGCGAAATAGACAAGCAGGCAATGCAGGCAAGCAGGTAAGGAGACAACGCAAGCATACAAGGCACGCGAGGCAGACAAAGCAGGCAAAGCAGGCAAAGCAGGCAAAACAGGCAAAACAGGCGAAATAGACAAGCAAGCAATGCCGACAAGCTGCAGGTTAGGTTTGGTCACTCAAGCATGCAAGCAGGCCAAGCAAGCAAAGCAGACGAAGCAGGTGAAGCAGGCAAAACAGACAAAACGGGCAACTTATGCGAAACAGGCAAAGCAGGCAACGCAGAAATAGTAAGCAAGGCAGACAAAGCATGTAGGTATAGCAGACAAAGCAGGAAAGAAGACAAAGCGCAAGTCAAGGCTAAGCAGCAAACCAGACAAAACAGATAAATGATAAATGGTACAAAATAGGTACGAAAGAAACAAGATTTGTGATACAAAATGCAATTTCATTTTAAGATGAGGACCTACCTCATTATCGACAACAGGTTATTGGAAAAAAAATTGAGGGCAGACTACGACTTTTTTGGTCATTGTAACAACCAATTAAACTGTCATGTGTATTGGTTATGGACGTGCTTAAACTACTTTCGTCTTGTAATGTTTATTATTCTGTGCACCTTTCAGGAGACAAATACATTCCAAGCCGTGCTCGCGACGGATGGCATCCATGGCTTTGTGATATTCAATTACGATCCTTGCGGCTTGAATTGGGACTTCAGTTTTTTATCGAACAAAAATGTCATCCAGGGCTTTACCTGCGGAACGTCCAATGATCCACCTGTCTACGTGGTCAACCCAAACGAATCGGAGTACCTCCCCGGTACCATCAAAGGAAATACGGGTCAGGCAGGACGTTGGGTGTTTCCCCTCAACACACCAAGCCCGGACTTCGTCAATCCCCGCCAACAGTGCCACAACTGGCACGGCCGCCAGCCACCTTACCATTCACTTGGTATCTATTTTGATGCCTTCGCTGACACGTGCCCCTGCAGCCTTGTCAATGCCCGGTTGGACTGGCGATACATACAAGTCCCAGCCCATGATCTGCCTCAGGGACTACGTTCATCAAATGTCCGTAAGTGCCACTTTCCAAAATCAAGCGTTAATGAAGTCCTAATAAAATCTTAAATGGATGAAAGATTCTCTTTTGATTTGAAGAGTAAATTATATATTACCAATACGGATAGGTTTCATTCATTATTATTGAGGAAACAGAAATACCAAGACGTATCAATTTGAATCTCTCCTGGGCAAAATACATCACTGCATATTAACCCTAAAGGGGCCATGTTATTTTGACCATCTCAGCCGGGGGGCGGATTCCAACCCCCCCCCCCCTAGATCTCGACCATTGAGTGACGAAATATTTTGAAACTCAATACATGCATAGAGCAACTCTTCATGAACATGCCCAAGACATTTCATGACTAAAGCCCATGTCACACTTGTCCGAATCTATAATTCCGTTCATAAACCGATCTGAAATAATATTAATTCGGACACGTTCTGAGAGAAATGTCAAAAAACCAGCCAGAAATGAAAATACACCGATCATAATCCGGTCTTATTCCGGATCAAATAAGTTGTCATTCCGATTGCAATACGTCTATATTCAGAACCTCTCCGATCATCACCGGACATGCCAAACTTTGAAAAATTCATTGATCTCAAGACCGACCGCTTTCCGAACGTTCCGTTGATATTCCGTTCGTCTCCGTTATATATATGGTATTACATCGTGGTAATGCGGTATATCATCGGATAAAGTGACATCAAAGTCCGTTTTTTGATCGGCATTACAATGTGGGTTCGGAATGAACTCTGAATACATACGGAGGCCTGTTCCGTACTCTTCCGTACCTATTCCGCATTTCAAATTTCGAATGGCAACGAATGAGTACAGTGTGTATTCCGTGCATTCCGTGCATATTCCGTGTGTATACCGGATACCGTTCGTATTGAGGTTGCCGCGACAATTCGGAGAAATTATTAAACAGGTTCAATAATTTCTCCGAGTTCCTCAGTGCATCACCGAACGTACACGAGTATATAACGTTGGAAAACCGAGGAAAACCGAGGGAAATCCGTTTGAGTTCAGTTCAAACCGATAAAACACCGAATCCACAATGTTTTACTCGGAACATGAACGAAGTGACGATTCGGACAAGTGTGACAGGGGCTTTAAGGTCAAAGGGTTTTGGAATTATGGCTAATTAATTATTCATGTGTATGAATGGTAATTCTGGTCTGTGTACACGGCGTATACGGGAAAATTCACGCTGCGCGACAACCCCTCGTCCGATTTTATGATTTTGGTGTCAAAAGATGCGCAAGGCTCGAGGCTGAAAATTCATAAAAGTTCGAGTCGCGAAAACATTTTTTAAAGGCTATAGTGGAAAGAGTCGAGGGGGCGCCCCCAGCCCCTTCAGGGTTAAGTGCAGTTTGTCTGCTCTTTATTTGCATGGAATTATTATATTATTTAATACACACGTTAAATTCTTCTTATACAGTTATTTCAATAGCTGCATATTACTACGATTGAGATATCATAATTCGAAATAATTTCAATCATTTCAGCTGCCGTTTGTTACGTGCGTCTCTTTCAATTTCCTGGGACGCCAGGCCCTCAGTGTTGCTACAATTTATTCACCGGTGATCTCCTGTATAATGTGAGGACTCCTAGGGTTTCTTCTGTCTTCGAGAGGTTCCCGTTCAGTCCAATATTCTATACGGATGATTTGTACCAACAGTGGTTAGGTATGCGTCATCATGCTCTGCACAGTTTTTTCTTAGTTTCTGGACGGTAAAACAAAAAAGAAGATTTTTTTTGGGGGGGTCACAATTCCATTTTGACGGCTCAAACATATTACCAGCAAAATGGGGGGAAATCCCAGTACCACATATTGGTTGGGAATATTGTTTCCGAATGAAGATACGAATTTGTTTCTTCCCTACGTTTTTATGTGTGTTAGCAAGAGGAGGTGGAAGGGGCTTTGGGGAAGAAATGGGAACCCGCAATGCATAGACCGCACGAACTAACAAAACAGTTTGTGCACCGTAAAATAAGGGGGAAAAGAGATTTTGTTTGGATCCCAGTTCCATTTTGACGGCTCAAACATGTTACCAAAATAATAATAATTATTATAATAAATAATAATAATTCCCAGTACCACATATTGGCTAAGTTAAAAAAAATATTGATTCAGTTACTATTTCGCTATTTAAATAAAGACACACACTTGTTTCATCCATACTTTTTTTCATCTCTGTCGGCAAGAGGGGGGGGGGAGGCTTTGGGAGGAAAGGGGAACCCCAAAGCATAAATTCCACGATCTTTAAAAAAAAAAATAGAAAAAGGTTATATTCTCGTTTGTGATTTTAAGCATCTTCTTAGTCGGTTAAAGCGGCATATTATACGATAACAAATACTTTGTTCAATCAGATATTGATATTTTTTTGTTCCAGATGAAGAGGTGTGGCCTCGCTTTTATTGCTGTGAACGATCAACGCTTTGCGATCTGTACATACAATGGCGGCCTCTGATGACTTGCTGGTCGTATGTTCCTCCTGCCTGGTGTAAGTACATGTATCTCATTGAAAACGAAAATACCTGCGTAGCCGAGTGCTAAAAAACTTAGGCCTGACGTGTGTTTTTGTGTTACTACAACATTGTGTTGGCCATAATACTCTTCATGATAAGCTGAGTAAAACTTGGATCAGAGTATTAATCTAAATTTAAAAGGAATTCCTTTCCCTGACAGTGAAAAATACAACTTTCAAAAATGTTGCTCGTAAGCAGCAGTAAACTACAATGTAGCAGCAGTAAACTACAATGTTCACACCTTAGTGATAAAATTTTGTACTTAATTTTTAAGCTTTTGATTTTGTTAAAAACCATCGGATATCTGGATGGTCACTTTGTCATGAAGGAAACGTGGAGAGTGGGACGACCGTCAGTGTTAGAAAGAATAGATTCCTTGACTTCTTTCCAGTTTACAACCTAACCGCTAAAACACTTACGTACCGACGAAATCGTGAATCTGATTCGTTCAAAATTTAAGCAGTTCAACAGACCGAAATATCGCATAAAACGTCACTATTACAGCACTATAGAACATTTTGCGTTAAATAAACACCGCAAAAATCGATATTCCCTGCCGTTTGTTTCAGGCAGTGTCACATTGTCACGCAGCAATTTCCACTCGACTCGTGTAATCTTTAAATTTGCAACTTTTCAAACTCCATCATTTTTCATAAGCCGTTGCCAGTGTTGGACGATTTACAGTCTTTGGTAGCAAACGGGGTATCAAAATGTAGCTAACCACAATCCTTAAAAGTCGATATAAATTTCGTTATCATTAGACGATCAGATTAAAAAAGTGACCTCTACCAATGAGTTTGGATTTTTTTGCGGTGTTTATATTCGTGTGATATTATTTACACATTGCAACTAGTGTGGTTTTGGGGAGACCCCCATATCGTTACGCTTGATGGACTGGAGTACACCTTCAATGGTCTGGGGGAATACACACTAGCACTCATCGAAGATGACGATGGACAACGAGTCTTTGAACTGCAAGGTCGCACACGACAGGTCGTGGATACGGAGACAGGGGAACTTAGCCAGGCTACTATCTACTCTGGATTTGCTGCGGTGTACACAGGAGAAGCAAGGGTCTGTTAACACATTGTTTTGTATTAACACATGATACGTTTCAAAAATGCCTTTGACTTGATCCCATGATTTGCATTCCATGTTGATATATTTTCATTGCTAAGTTCCCATACAAAGTGTGCTGATTGGATACAAAAAAAAACAGTTATATTTATATCAGGCTACCCTGCAATGAATTGAAAATCTTCAAAATTTTGTTCTGATGCATGAATTTCAAACACTTGAACAGCTTGTCGGTTTTGTTTGCAATTCATAAAGATTGAGATCAAGTTGAGTGATGATGCCATGGATTTGGTAACGACTGTCAATGGGACCGTTGTAACACCCAGTGCTACAGGTAAGCTCAGTCTCTACTAATCACCAAAGTGCAATATGTTCCACTTGTAATCTATTGGTAACCTTTTCGCTCTGTCGTATGTAAGTACCATTCGGTACGTGCCATCCGGTACAAGGGCTGTTTTACTATTTTTTTTATACACGTTTACCTAAACTGGATGCAACAATACATGTGACATCATCATTATTAATGTCTGTGTTATTTTCTCGTAGGATTGCACTTAGGAAATCTTTTGGTAACGAGGGCGGAAAACCCAATCAAAGTGAGCGTCATGTATTCAGATTATGTCAGCTTTTCTGTTGGGGTGAACAACAGTATGGCCGACATAACTGTCCTTATCAACCAGGACTTCAAAGGCAAAACAAAAGGAATTTTAGGTATGATCCAGGTTGTTTTAATCCTTTTTTCCAGTACAATGTTGCTTTCCTAAATCTGAATTTAGAAAATTGTCTTCGTGATTATCACTGTAACCAACTTATAGGTAAGTCAATAATAATCGTGCGAACTTAATAGATGACAAAGTCATATTTAATGTCGTTTTCGGGTACAACCCGGTGCTAATTTTCACCGATTTGTTAAATTTTCTCAGGTGTGTGGGATGATGACCCAAGCAATGATGTTTTGACGCGTTATGGCACTCTGCAGACAGGCTCTGGAGATGATGGAGAACTGGTGGAGAGGGACTTCTTTGAATTTGGCGAAACATGTAAGAAATCATCGAAAACCTTTAGGAATTTAGTACCAATTACAATGAGTCAGGGGGACCTATATTGCGTAATTGTAAACGCAGACAGCTTGTCATGGTATGATAACATGTAGTTTCATTTTAAATCGTTAGTCCTTGAACCTAATTGTGGTACCCCCCAAAACAGGTTCCTTTATAGAGCATTCGTTGTACTTTTGGTGTGTTTCAATGTATATCAGGGCGAATCGCAGAGGAAGACTCTCTGTTCTTCTACCAGTCTCCTGATGAAAGCTACAACTCATTGAACGATCCTGCTTTCGCTCCAGACTTCTTGCAAGATTTGATCGATAAGGCACCGCCGGGAAAATACAAAGAGGCTAAGGCGGTCTGCGGGTCAAGTAAAGTGTGTCTGTATGATTCCCTGGCTCTGAATGACACAAGCATCGGTGTGGCTACATTAACACTCGACGAGATGAACACCATTAATATGGCAATGTCAAGTAAGTGCAATGTAGAACAGAGATGTCGCCGGTTAAACATCAAACGAATGTGAATGAAACATTGCAAAATGTACGCCAACCAACTCGGCACCGACACACCGACTCACCAACACACAAATTCACTGACCCGAAAACCCGATGACCAACCGCACTACTGATCTATAGCTACTGAACCACTGATCCACCGACCTACTGAATCACCAACCTACTGAACCTAACAAACTGACCCACCCAACCAAAAGACCCACCAACCCACTGACATACCAACCCAAGCGACCCACCAACCCACCAACCCAACGACCCAAACCCTAACGACCCACCAACTCACTGACCCACCAACCCACTGACCCACCAACCCAACGACCCCAACCCAAACGACCCCCAACGACCTACCAACCCAAACGACCCACCAATCCAACGACCAACCAACCCACCCACCCACTGACCCACCAACCCAACAACCCCCAACCCAAACGACCCACCAACCCAACGACCTACCAACCCAAACGACCCACCAACCCAACGACCTACCAACCCAAACGACCCACCAACCCAACGATTTACCAACCCAAACGACCCACCGACCCAACGACCAAACGACCAACCAACCCACAACGACCCCCAACCTAAACGACCAACCAACCCACCAACCCAACGACCCAAACCCTAACGACCCACCAACTCACTGACCCACCAACCCACTGACCCACCAACCCAACGACCCCAACCCAAACGACCCCCAACGACCTACCAACCCAAACGACCCACCAATCCAACGACCAACCAACCCACCCACCCACTGACCCACCAACCCAACAACCCCCAACCCAAACGACCCACCAACCCAACGACCTACCAACCCAAACGACCCACCAACCCAACGACCTACCAACCCAAACGACCCACCAACCCAACGATTTACCAACCCAAACGACCCACCGACCCAACGACCAAACGACCAACCAACCCACAACGACCCCCAACCTAAACGACCAACCAACCCACCAACCCAACGACCCAAACCCTAACGACCCACCAACTCACTGACCCACCAACCCACTGACCCACCAACCCAACGACCCCAACCCAAACGACCCCCAACGACCTACCAACCCAAACGACCCACCAATCCAACGACCAACCAACCCACCCACCCACTGACCCACCAACCCAACAACCCCCAACCCAAACGACCCACCAACCCAACGACCTACCAACCCAAACGACCCACCAACCCAACGACCTACCAACCCAAACGACCCACCAACCCAACGATTTACCAACCCAAACGACCCACCGACCCAACGACCAAACGACCAACCAACCCACAACGACCCCCAACCTAAACGACCAACCAACCCACCAACCCTACGACCCAAAACCCAAACGACCCACCAGCGTAACGACCGGCCAACCCAACGACCTCCAACCCAAACGACCCACCAACCCAACGACCCACCAACCCAAACGACCCACCAAACCAACGACCCACAAACCCATCGACCCCCAACCCAAACGATCCACCAACCCACTGATCATTTAACCCAACGACTTCCAACCCATAAGAACCAACAACCCAACGACCCACTCATGCACCTAACGACCCCAAAACCCAACGACCCACCCATGCAGACCCACGACCCGAATCGGAACGACCTACCAACCCAACGACTGGCCATCAACCCAAGATCAACCCAACCCAACGACCAACCAGCCCACCAACCCACTGACCCACCAACCCAACGACCCCCAACCCAAACGACCCACCAACCAAACGACCTACCAATCCAAACGACCCACCAACCCAACGACCTACCAATCCAAACGACCCACCAACCAACTGACCCACCAACCCATCGACCCCCCCCCCACCCACCTAAACGAGCCACTAACCCACTGACCCACCAACCCCCAACCCAAACGACCCACCAACCAACACAGCCAGACATCCACCCAAACATTTTGGCGGTCGAAGAACGAGAGAGCAATGAAAGTACACTTACATTGTATTCGTCTTGAATGACTATATAGTTTAATCAGTGTTTCAAAGGAAACTCTAAAAATTGATTTGTCTTTCGATCGACAGACAAATCAAGTGAAGTATTGTTGTGAACCAAACTGACCTCTCTTTTATCCGAAAGTGTCAATAAATCTTTAATATATGCATATAAATACTTTCAGTGAACTTCCCGCCAAATCTGACGCTTGTGGAGACCGTTGAGGTTATAGTAGGGCAGGACTTTACCTTGCAGTTACAAGCAGCTGATCCAAATGGAGATAATATCACATATCATTTGCTTCAGACAGTAAAAGGAGCTTCAATTTCATCTGATGGTCAGTAAAATCCAAATCAAGTAATTTTCAAGTAAATAAAGTATATTTACTTCTTTCGAATTAGGTGTACTACTCTGTACAACATTACATTCAATTTCCCTGGAAAACCTAAGCTTCTTTTTTTTCTGAATGATTTTTGCTACATAGAACAGCTTGAAATTCGATTGTTTTTGGATACCCTAACAAGTATTAAAGTAATGAACGTGATTGGGGTTTGCATAAAGAAGTACTCAGATCTTCCAGTTGTACCGCTTTTTAAAGTAGCAACCATTGTGCAGATTAGTTCTGTAAAACCTAGTCATTTTTGAAAAGTAATTCCACGGCATTGATTAATCATTCACAATTGGTCACAAATTATTGGCAAATTGGTTGACTGTTACCCAAATTGAACGATTTTCCATCTTTCATTTTCCTTCTACGTTGTGCGATAGGTCTGTTCAAATGGACTCCTGCAAATAGGTCCAAGGTCTCGATTGGTTTCCTAGCCACAGACGGTATAGCAAATGCAACACTTGAACCCACTGTGAAGCTTTGTGACTGTGAGAATGACGGCACATGCCTATTTAATCAGTATGTTAGTGGAACCAATCTCATACAAGATCGTTTCGGGGTGAGTACAGGAAAAAAATTGAGCTCGCAATGATCTAATTCAAGCCGGGACAGTACAATCGTTGGTTACCAAAACCAAGCAAATATGCTCTGTAAATTCTAGTGAAGGTACATTCTTTCTGTGTACAATCCCCACTCAGGTGGTGCTGTGTGAGTGTCAGCCGGGCTGGACTGGAGACTTTTGCGAAATGGATTACGACGCCTGTGCTGATAGCCCTTGTTTCATAGGCGTGGCTTGTACTGATGAGGCCCCGCCATCGTTCAACAGCACCTGTGGACCTTGCCCTGAAGGACTTGAGGGAGACGGCAAGAGTTGCCAAGGTAACAAGACGTATTTTTTATGTTCAATTTGTCGTCGTTGCTGTCCTTATCGATATATTCGTCTGCTACTGCTGCTAGTAGTTCTGTTGCTGCTACAGCTAGGCTTGCTTATAATATTTAGTAAGCCCCCTTGAATCTAAACAGCGCAATGGTCCCAAATGAAAAGGTCAAACAGGCTTTATATCATTACTAATGGCTGACCATATCGTCCTTATCAAGGCTTCCAAGCTAATGCCTTCTTTCCTTAGATTTCCCAATCAAACCTCCCTCGTTTGTCCATACAAAAAGGCAAATGTTCTTGGCAGTCAATTTACTATGGCTTCTTAGCATTCAGGCATAAACCCATCTTTGGGCTTTCAGAGGAAGCCAAAAGAAGTCTTTCTTGGGCTTTTTTTATGAGGAGCAGATATCAGCAAAAGAAAGGTATGTAGTATGACAGGACTAATTCTTTGAGACCTGGAAATGATTGTAAAACCCAAGCCCATCATGTCTATATTGTTAGTCGTCCATTGTAATTATTGTTATTATAAATATTAATACTACTGCTTTATTTTCCTTCTCTTTTAGTAGCCCACAGACTTAATTGCACGGTGGATTACAATTATACCATAAAACACAATAATTTAAAAGTGTACATTGTTAACTTCACCAAAAACTCCATGAAATTTTGAAAAATTAAGAGAAAGTTAATGAATATTTTGGATGACTGGTCTTTGTACTTTACACAGCGTAGCCCTCAGAGGGCGAGCTGTGCCATGCCGTATAAATGAGATTATATAACCTTTAGTTAAACCGGATAAGGAATGCAAAAGCACAAACGGCAAGGGAAGGAAAGCGCGGTGTGAGACTTTATTTCTGCATGAGCAAGCGACCAGTCCCAGTAGTATACTTTGAGTAATTTTTTTTGTGTGTCAGAAACCAGTGAACCCATAAAAAATATTATTTGAATAATTTCAGAAATGCTATTTAAAACCTACATTGAAAGTTGACCCCCACAAAACACGATCACGTAATCACTCACACCACAATGCAAGGTTTGAGTACATCAACCTTTCACAATCCACAATTTAACCTAAGAGTTGCTTCCGATTTCTCGTGATATCTGGCACTGGACTGTATATCTGTTTATTGAGCGTGTTTGTTCACCTGTGGTAAGGCAAGATCTAAAGCACGTATTGTGGCTCCTTTTTGACACTGGAAACCAATGACTGAAATTACCTGACCTGTACTTTTTTCAGGGCAAACTCTTGACACAAACTTGTCCGTCCATCGAATAGAGACTGAAATCTAAATGAAGCCAGAGCTTTATCATAACTTGTGTAATTATTGGGTAAATTCTCAATTTGAACAGTTTCATGGGATGTTATACTTGAATGCAAGCCTGAGATTGTAGGCCCCCCGTTGTATAGGCCCCCTTCCATGACTGGTCTGATGTAGCCTTTATACACAACAATAATGTCCTGAGTATGAAAGCCATGTTTTTTAAAACAAATTTGACATCAACAATTTCTTATTTGCTTTAGAGACCATTTCATCTACATGGGCATTCCATTTCAAATTTTGCTGGAAGATGCCTCCCAAGAGCTTAACCCTTGCACCAAGTTCAAGTTTGGATCTACTGTACCGCACATCTCGCGGGTTTCTCTTGCCAACAAGTTTACGTGTAAAGCTGGACACTTAACAGGGTATAATGTCAGCCCATTGTAAGAGGCCCAAGTACTCAGACTGTTCAAATCAGTTTGGGTTTTGCTTTCAATGACTTGTGATCTTTTATTCGCCAATGGTGAGGTCATCAACGTATTTCCAGCATTTGCTGTTAGCTGGGTTAACTGCAGTGTTAATACAAGCCAACAAATATCACTGGACCCAGTTTTGTCCCCTGTGGCACTCCACTAGATAGGTGGGTTTCCTCGAGGTTTCAAATTTCGTCAGCATGAAAATCCGTGTTTTTGATATCTAATCTCAAGTAAAACAGATTTATTTGATTTTAAACATATAACATTCTTTATCTTGCTATCCTTCTGCAGATATTGACGAGTGCCAGCTGTACAGAGACCAGCCAGCTAGCAGTGGTGGACTTGGCTGCGATCAAAACTGTGAAAACGTCCTAATGAACTACACGTGTAGCTGCAATCCTGGATATTTACTTCACGAGGATGGCAGGCAGTGCATCGGTGGGTGATAATTACCATAACATTGTTATGTTTAATTTCAATTATGCCATTTAAAAAAACAAACTATCGTGCAATATTAAATAAATACACAATCAAGCGGGTGCGGCAGTGTATCGTGTTCGATAATACTCAGCTATATGACGCAACGCATACAATCATGTGAGATGTCCATTCCAGTGCCCCTCTTAACACTACCTTTGTTTGTGCGTCTGCACTTTGTTATTTTATCTTTTGATTGTTTAGACTGCCAGGTTTTAAGCTGTCTGAATGGAGGGACATTTGATGTTGAGTTTTGCGAGTGTGCCTGTCCACTTACACATTCAGGATCAACATGTTCTGGTAACATAAACTTTTCATTTTGTAGAAATATCAAAACATGCCAACTTAAGATAATGTGAGAGGTAAACAAGTTTTGCAAGTTGATGCCAGTAATTCATGAATGTTACCAAATGGTGCGACGGACTATTCTTGCGTTCGTTATCGCCAGGTTTAGGGCACGGCATCTGAAATGTATCAGTACCTTGTCGCAACTGCTGAAACTATCAGTAATCTACACACCAATATGATGACCATGCACTCTCGGTGGTCCACGTGAATGTTTCAAAAACTCCTCAGTGTGTGTCACTCGACATATTACACTGAAGATCTTCTCATTTTCAACCTCTATGTCATGAATGCCATTACAGATCGATCACATGTCTACGATCGGAGATAACATCACCTAAAAATACCTTTGTTTGCAGATGAGAATCCGTGTCTGTCTGGTAATAGATGCCCTGATGCTCAACACTACTGTTTGCCAGACTCAAACCAAGATGGCTTCACTTGCATTTGCAATGTTTTTGATGGGTTTTTCTTGCAAGACGATAGTTCGTGTAAAAGTAAGTAGAATTGTGTCCACTTTATTCCACTAACAGTTTAAGGATCTTCGTTCACCCTACCTCCTTTCACAACCTGCTCATCATGATTTGATAAATAGGAATAATAAATAATCCTGGGACGAACCTACTAATTTGGCGAGAAAATCCGTGCTCAGAGTGAGGATACGACTGGTAGGAATTACCATGTGACATCATTCCGCTTCAAATGCATCATTCAGAAGAAAAATAATTACAGAAGGTGGATTGAGAAAGTATGCGTGAATTCAATGTTTAAAAATGCATAAGCAACGAAAAACAGCTATGATACTTCTAAACCAATGCGTACGTTTTCTGGACGGTTTTTTTAATGGATAGTATCCAGCAGGAATTGTAGTTTCAAGCAGGAAAACAACTCACAAACATGCAAATGATCTCCTAAATACCTTTAATATTCCCTTTTTGTGGGAGCTTGTGGTATTGTTTTTTGTAACATATTTTGCTGTGGATATTTTTATTAGCAAACTACATTTTCTTTTTAATTTTGATCCAATGATATCACCCATTTTTTTTAACAGAACTTCCATCTAAACAGATTGTGGTGACAGCTGATTTGGATTTCAATCAGGCCTACAAAAACCCGACATCAACTGCTTTCCGGAGACAAGCTGCTGTATTTAAACGGGCGGTAATTATACTGGTCGATTAGGAGAAATTATATTGTGCTGTATTCCATTGTTCTTACTCTCGATTAGACCCCATTGTTGAATAGTAACCTGGAATATCTTTCTATAGGCAAACTTGCGGCAAGATCGCAAAGTCTTAACTTGAGCACAGGGCTAATACTATAAGTGATAAAATAATAATACAACTATAAATGATTGGAATCGTGACTTTATTCTCAATTGTTAACGAAATGAAAAATGACATTGAAGGTAGTCTTAAAACAATTCCTCTGACAATGATCTTGAAGTATGTCAGATCATTATCCAAGATGACGTCCATATAGTTTGAGCTTTACACATCTTTTGAGGCCGAAACTGACAATAAGATGTGCAATTCAATTTAGAGAGCATTCCTTTATTGGTACTTTACCTTCAGATTTTCATGAGACTGAAGGAGAATCCATCTACCAACGGTGTATCTTCAGTTCACGTTCCGTGGATGGAGGAAGGCAGCGTTGTCGTTAGGTCTATGGCTTCATTTGAAAAGGGTGCGCCGTCAGACGCCAGCCTGCAGCAAGTATTTTCAAGCAGTCCATCACTGAGCGACGGCGTTAATGTCATCAACTTCGACCGTGATTCAGTCACTGTAAATGGTAATGCAATTGTACACCAATCTTAAACACGTAGGGCTTTGGCCCATTATGGTTGGGTAAGGGACTGTGGATGAATGTCCTCTTCCCTGAAATATTACAAAATCAAGTTCCAAGAAGTAAGACAGAGGTAAATAAAAAGGGTAAAAACGATAGGTTTTGCCAAATGCAAATGGCGCCCTCTAATTGTGTCCGCTATATCCAACACATGCTGTTATTTTATATATGTTTTTTTGTGTCCTGATATTCTTACAACCTTAGTCATGGTACCAACATTTATTCTTTTACATTACATCCACTTTTAGTTTGATGATTTTGTCATGACAGATGGGGAAATAGACTGTGTACCGACCTACTGCAAGAATGGTGGGACTTGTGAGGCGTCTGGAAACTTTCCTTACGTTTCGTATACGTGCAGGTAATACCATATTCCATGGACCTTGAGCGCTTCAGAAGCTGTTCTTAAATTTGTTATTTTAATTCATTAACATTGAATGCACAAACAGTTTACTCATGCCTATCTATACAATACAAATGCGTATATTAACTCATAGTTGTGGTGAATACCCAGCAGAATTTGTAAGCGAATTACCCAACTTTTTACGTGGTTTTCATTAAGGCAAACCTAAAAGAAGTTCATAAATCCCTCGATGAGTATTAGACTTGAGAAAATTATAAGAATGATGGGTGTTCAACGAAATATAGAGTACATTGGTAGAGCGATTCCTATTCAAACATGTGCAATCTGTAGTGATCGTTATCCTTTTTTTCCTTTTAGCTGTCAAACTTCATATACAGGGGAACGTTGTGAGACAGATGTCCAAGGTAAGCTTGTAAAAAAAATTCAGATGTAATCTACTGCAGAAAAAGGTTTGTGAATTTGGAGTTGGTTTATACTTTTACCGAACGCACAAAGCGATTTCCTTGGCGTCCAGAGTTAGTGTAGCTTCATTGCTACGTTCGCCGAACGGCTTCGCACTTAGATTTGGGTAAAATGAACAGACTAACTTTGTATTGAAAAACTTGCAAAATATAATTCTTTTTATTGTAAAAAAAGAGTAAACATTGTTTATTCTGCATCTAATTTAAGAGGTTTTGACAACATACAACTGTTTTGTAACCGGTGTCCCATTTAGAGCCCGATAGTGGCGGTCTATCCACCGTCACTGTTGTACTCATCATTGTTGGCTCCATTGTGCTGCTTATCGTTGTGGTGTGCATGCTGGTCTGCATGTGTCTCCTCATTCAAAGGCAACATGCCAAGTCGCTGGCTTATCGTGAGGACAAACAGCGGTCTGGTGTCCCAAGAGACGGTGATCGGAGCATGGAGTCTGTTGATGTCTCCTGCGGTGATGAGGCGGCTAGGATGAGTCGATTGATGCACGTGATGAGCCAGTCTCGCTACATGCAAGAGGTGAGGAATATGTCTTAACATCGTTCCTGTTTGCGGTTAACACCATGTGGTTATAACTACTGCTTAGAAGATATTTAGTTCTGAAAAGAACTTGTCCTGCTTATTATCAACTTTCGCTTAGTAGTTTTTGTTCTGATAAGAACAGTCCTGCTTTAATTTCTAAAAAACTTGTCTTTGAATTAGTCTCAACGTTTCGACTAGCCTGCTCTAGTCATCGTCAGGAGACTGAAGAGAGTTGGAGGTGCTACTCCTTAAGTCATGTAAATAGGCCGTGTTAGGATTGGGAATGCTTGTATATATTGGTTGTCTGTTGGGCATTGTGTTAGAGTGGGATGCCCTGCTCGTGTCAGTTGGCTGTGAGCCCTGGGCATTGTGTCGAGGGATGCCCGCTGAGTGTCCTGCTCGCTCAGGTGCGTCATTTGGATGTGAGTGTTGCAGTGGCGTAGCCATGGGGGGGGGGGGGTGCGTGTGGGGGCGACAGCCCCCCATGAAACCCTGTCGCCCCCCCCCCCCCAGTCGCCCCCCCCCCCACTGAGATTTTGAGTTTCTAAAAAAAAAATGCATTGATCTACATGACGCCCCCATGAAATGTTCCAGCCCCCCCCCCCCTGAAAAATTCCTGGCAACGCCACTGGAGTGTTGCAACTTGGTATAATTGGATGCCATATGTTGCTTATGAAATTGCCGATATCTTGTGGTACAGTGTCATGTTCGTGGATCTCAATAGCTTCTCTGACACGACGGGTGTACCAATGTTTCTCTGGAGCTATGATTTACGCTTGTTCCCAATCAACGACATGATCCAAATCAGCAAAGTGTTTGACAATGGCAGATTTGCAAATCAATAGACAGTGGTACTTCGTCCACCAGAGAGCCAGCGCGGTTCTGTGTATTTGTTTTGTTATCATTAGCTGTTTCGGTGTACACACTGAAACAGCTCTTGTTTTTGTTTATTTTTTTTTTCTCTTTTTTTTTTTTTCTTCCACTTTTTTTCCCATAGGATAACATGTGTATTCGTTCTACAACGCACTTTTGGACTTTTTTCAAATCCGATGGACTTCAAACCTGGCATACAGTTAGACCACCATCTGAAGATGTATGCCGAATCATGACGTCATCACGTGTCACGTGACGTCATCCTAAAAGAGCATACTTTAAGGCCCTATATCTACAGAACCGAAAGTCCGATTTGGTTCAAACTTGGTATGCAAGTATTCCGGGACGTGTTATAGACAAAATTTGCAGTGACGTCATGATGACGTAATCGTGTGATTTTATATAAATTATTCACTTTTTGGCCCTTTTACTCATATCTCATAAACGGAATGTGGTAAATTCAAAATTCTTTTTGTAACATGTTTGTCAGGTGAAATATAGATGCACAAAATTTCATCAAATGTGTGACGTCATCATGACATCATCAAAAACGTGATTTTGTGATTCACAGATAAGGGTATGTCCGATCGTTATGAAACTTGGTGGGTAGGTAGGTATAGATAAAAGCTTTCAAAATCTGAAGTGACGTCATCATGACGTTATCGTCTGATTTTTTATGATTTTTTCAAATGTTAATATTTTCTTCAAATTTTGCAAAAATTATATAAAATTCGGTCGGATCGACTTCAAACCTGGCACACACTTAGACCACCATCTGAAGATTCAGGTCGAATCATGACGGTATCAAGACGTCATCACGTGTCACTTGACATAATCCTAAAACTGCATGGTTAAAGTCACTATATCTAGAGAACCTGAGGTCCGATTGGGTTCAATCTCGGTATGCAGTTATTCCAGGAAGTGTTATAGACAAAAATTGCAGTGACGTCACGATAACGTCATCATGTGATTTTATATGAATTATTCATTTTTTGGACCTTTTACTCATATCTCATCAATGGAACGTGGTTAATTCGAAATCCTTTTTTGCAAAAGGTTTATTAGGTCGTAGATAGATACAGAAAATTTCAAAAAAATGTGTGCCGTCATCATGACGTCATGAAAAATGTTTTTGTTTTTTTACATAGGATGGACACTTTTTGTACAGAATACGCATGTACAAGTTCATTTGACCTGGATGAAACTCCTTTACGGCAGTCATTAATAAAACGGTCGAAACAGCTCAGTGTTTGTCCACAAACACATTTCTAGTTTTCTTGGTTTCCCTAATGTCCACGACTTGAAAAATCTGTTCAGGCTGATATTTGTATATCATTTGGCACAGTACATGTACATTACGTTCCTATAGACATTACATTATGGTCTCGAGTCTGTAGTACGAGAAGATCCAATATTAGAATTAAATGTGTTTGTTGTGTTATTTAACTTCTGTCGATGCACTTGTAATTGTAATCATACAGTGGGGTCTCCACTCGACAAGATCATGCTTTTTGAGACCTCGGTTCATCCATAAACAATAATTCAAATGTTAAATAATTATATATGTACATGTATGTGTTGGGAAAAATTAAAGATTTGATGGATGGATTGATTGATCAGAATGTGAACATTTGAAGTCATTTTCCCGATCTGTATTCATTTAATGGTTACTTCCCGAAAGATCCCCATAACTTAAGAAAACCTTAAATTCATGTGAGGGTCATTCAAATTTTGTTTCAGAACTTGTTCCACATATGCAAAGCTGAGAACTATTTCCAAAGGTTTAGTTTAAATCAACGTCAACGTTTACTGTGTTCGAGGACAAACAACCTTCCTCACACTGAATCACTATGAGGCATGCCAAAACCCGCCTTAAAATTTAGTATAGGTCAAAGGCTTATGCAATTGTACTTGGTCATTTGCAGCTTCAGATCAATTCTATTTAATTCAGATCAATTCTATTTAATTCATCATGAAAGCAATGCAGTTACAGTCACTTAAAGACACCGGAAACCATTAGTCTGGGAGTAAAGGTTACACAAAGGTTCTGAGTGGTACTGTATTAACTGTCTATGGATATCAAAATCTATGTTAACTAGCGGTCCTTTTTATTTCATCAGGTCAACCCAGCAGGTCGTGTGGTGCGCAATCCCATGGTCAACTAGACGCCCCATCCGTTCACTGCAAGTTAATAGCGTTTTGGTAAACTCGTGGAGCACATTTCTTACGTAATTGTTACTTGTTTCCCATTGATTACTAGATAGCAGGTCGCTGTATTCTAAACTGAAAGATTAAAATTAATGCAAGGAATTATTTCATGACTTCGCGTTAAACATTTCAAGAAACGTTCCATTTAAAAAAAAAAATCTGATATTGTCTTCTTTAGACAAAGTTCGCATATTGAGCCAATGGTTTAATCAGGACGCTTTTTACCAGCATATTAGCTTTCAAATTGTTACCTCTGCGTATGTTACCCAGAAAAAAGTTGTAATCAACAACATGTATATGAAGGTTACGTTAAAAGTAAATATCGGTGTATGGGATATCCAAGATATTTTTGTTAGTGCTGTACGTGCGTAGAATTAATTACATTATATAATATCAATCATTACTAATGGTGATACAGTTTGTTTCATTATTAAACTAAGTAGACATTTATAGAACAGTGTTTTGAGAAAACTAATGATTGATTTACGACCTCGACAATGGCCAGGCAGCGTTGATACTGAGTCGGTCGGGTGATCTGAAGTCATGTATTATACTTTAATTTTCCAATATTGCTAATACTTGTCATTGTTGTAGTCAAACAGCTGATAACTTGATAATGTTCTGTTATCTGGTAGTATTCGCTAGATCATAATTATATGATTGAGGCAATTGTGTAGCAGAATTTCACCACGCTCATATCATAGGGAGGTAGTTTAACGGATTGCACGTATTTTATCCGCATACCTTGTATTATTGTACACAGGTAGTTCTCCTCGCTATTTTGTATGAGCTCAACATTTTGTATGAGCTCTTATGAATAGAATAACTCGATATGGTTTAAAAAATACTGCCTGTAGTCGATTGCTCTTTTGAGGGAATCGTGGATCGTATTAGCCACGAAGGACTGTTCCTCGACTGCGGTGTTTGGTAAAAAATATGCCCATTACAATCGCATTAATTCAAGTATCATGCGTCTGTTGCTTATAAAATCATTCTGATAAACTTGATAATGCCGTTCCTGAGTGTTTTCTATCATTGTGGATAGAGGGATAAACATTGTGTAGTATCATTATTATTAATTATTTCTCGTAATGTCACCAAGAATTACTTAAAATTGCCCTAGGCACTGAAGCTTACAAGCCTCAAGAAACCTGTAGAGAGAAGACATTGATAATCAAATGATACAGTTTAAGAGGTGGGAGGAAAACCGCAGAAGAGCACTTAACCTCACCCCAAGGGCGGATCCAGGGGCGGGGGCCAAACACCACTTTCCTGTGACCCTAGTCTATGTCATAGGTCTTCAGACAATAGAAATAATGATCAGATATGAAAAAAAATCATACTTGACCTCCGGTGACCTTTCAGAGGTCAATGACCTTTATATACTGCATTTATAGTAATTTATAAGATAAGCACTTGAAACCCCAACTTTTTTAAGACACAATTCTAAAAGTTAGGTGTTCATGCTATGAAAAGTATTTTCATATGAAGGGCATTTCATATCTGACCTCTGGTGACCTTTAAGAGGTCAATGAACTTTGTATGCCCTATTTATAAATATTCATAAGATTTATTATTCAAAACCCAACTATTTCAGGAACCATGTCTAAAAGTTGGTTCTTTGTGATGTGAAAAGCATTTTTAGATATAGGGACATCATATTCTGACCTTTGGTACCCTTTAATAGGTCAATGAACATTGTACCTTATTTTTTGCTATTTGTTATATTTCTTTGTCAAAATGCCCTTTTGTGACCCAATGCTCAATATTGAAAAAGAAAGGTACTGCACATATCATTATACAGTCATGTAATGAATTCAAATCCCACAAAAAAATGTAAGGTGACATCTGACCTTCATTTCCCTTTTTCATTTGGCAGACGCAACATGTTGCGACTGGGATAGAAGACTGATCGACTTTCTTAGTCACTCTTCTGTACTTATTACACTCTGTGGTATCTAGATGGACTTAGGTCACCACATTTTTAACCTTTTTACCGAGCCCACAGGTCACTGTAAGAGTGTGGTTCTTGTCCAATGTACCTCTTGTATTCTGTTGCACCCCTGTCTACCCTTCAAAAAAGAGAAATGGAGATCAGAGGTCATAACAAAATTGTCCTTTGGGTCTGAATTCATGACATGCTGTAGAATAATACTTAAAATACACTTGTTTTGAACTATTTATACTTAAGTCATGAAAAAGTGGCATTTGGAATATTAAATATGACGAATAGCGGCAAATAGGGTATGCAAAGTTTATCGACCTCATAAAGGTCACCAGGAGTCAAAAATGAATGTTCACACATCTGAAAATTCTGTTCATGTCACGTACAGCCAATTTTTAAACTTGGGTCATAAAAAAGTGGGGTTTTGAATAGTAAATCTTATAAATATCTATAAATAGGGCATACAAAGTTCATTGACCTTTTAGAGGTCACCAGAGGTCAGATATACAAAGCCCTTCATATGGAAATGCTTTTCATAGCATGAACACCTAACTTTTAGAATTGGGTCTTGAAAAAGTTGTCTAAAGTATTAATCTTATAAATTACTATAAATATAGGTCCGCGACCTCTGAAAGGTCACCGGAGGTCAAGTATGATTTTTTTTTCACATCTCATCATTTTTTCCATTGCCTGAAGACTTATGACATAGACTGGGGTCATTGGAAAGTGGTATTTTCAAGAACAGTTATTATATATAATGTGTGTAAAGTTTGTTGACCTCTCAAAGGTCACCAGTGGTCAAATATGAAAAGTCTCCACATCCGAACATTTTCTTCATGGCATGAAGAACCAACATGCGAAGTTTCATGTTTTAGTCACAAAGTGTACAATTGTATCATATATTTGATCTTAACAGCCCCACTATCAAGGCAGATAATGAGTATACCACCAAATTGCCTCAGATCGCAACACAGAGCATCTAGAATCCAATTTTTTTTTCGGAAGGGCACCGAACCCCTCGCCGTTTTTTTTTTTGACCAAATTTTGGGGCACCCCATTTTTTTTTTTTGGCCCCTAAAAATTGTGTTGTGTTCTGGATCCGCCCTTGCCTCAGCCGTATATAGAGATCAAACTTTACGTATTTCCTGTTTACCAGTGTATTCACGCATGTTATCCGTATTTTGTTTTAGTGTTTTTGCTATCTTACTCAGATGTTGCCCTCGTTTTACCCTGTATGAACCACATGACAGTTTCAACTGAACAGATGACGATCACACAATTATTGTCATCTGATCGACACACAGTTTCAGTTTTAGTCAAACAAAAAGTATGCATTTGTTTTGTCAAAGCAATGGTAATTTAGTATGATACGGGGTTGTCGAGCTGTGGTTTGTAAACCTAAAATGTGGGTGTATTTTTTTGTTTTGCTCAAAGGCATGGGATCATTTGCAATCATCCAGATACAAATTTAACATTATTGTCAAATGATAAACTAATGATAATCAATCCGTGGTGGACAATAATGTCTTTTTATTACAAGAACAACTTTAGAAACGTCTTTCTTTATTGTGCAAGGTTGTTTTGCTTTTATTTGACAAAGAGTGAACAGACAAATACAAAATTATGTCCCAGTATACTGTATTACGTTTATCGAGTGATATTGCCATGGCAATAAAAAACAATGATGTGCAAATGGTCCTATCGTCAGTTTTCACAACTTAAGCATTAACTAATTATTGCAGTGTATTTACGTATTTTCTGTATACTTAATGTGTTCACAAATGGTATCCGTATTAGTTTACTGTGTTTGCTTTGTTACTCAGATGATCCCCTTATTAGCCCATATAAACCAGATGTCAAGCTCAATTGCACACAATTTATGATCAGAAGTGAAGACAATTACTCGTCTTCTGATCGACACACAGGTTTATGCATTGCAGGTGGCTCGTATAATTTTTCAATTTCAATTCTTAATCGGCAATTCTTACATTTAGAGAGCTGGTCACAGTATCCTACAGAGTTACATTACACATTGGGTTGGATAAATCGATGGTCATTTAGTATGTTACGGGGTTGTTGAGCTGTGGTGTGGAAAAATGAAATAAGGGTGTGTTTTTGTTTTACTTAAAGACATGAAGTCAATTTCAATCATGTAGATACAAACTGACCGTTATTGTCAAATGATCAACGACATGATAATCAAACCGTGATATACATTAATGTCTTCTTTAATGCCTTCTTCTTACATTAAAAACCTTACAAAACGCCTTTCGTTGTTGTGCACGATTGTTTTGCTTTTAATTTACAAAGAGTAAGCGGACAAATACAAAATAGGTTATGATACACTGCATTATGTTATTGGAATTTATATAATGATGTGCAATGATGTCCTGTTGTCGTTTTGAGAACTTGATAATAATTCCTTTGATTATTGCAGTGTTTTGTGTGTTTACGGTAAGATTATCCATCTTTATCCCTACTTCAATTCAGCATCTACGAAATCGTTTTTAAGATTTTGGAAATAAGTTTTTGCATTTTATTATCCGTTTTTTGTCCGTTTTATGTTGTTGCATTCTATTGGCCTATTCAGATTTCATCGATACCATATAGCTTCCAAATAATATAGGTATTACTTTTCAGTGAATCGAAAATGGTTACTCAATACCATGCTCATTTGAATTGGCTCATGATGGTTTAATATGTAATTTGCATTGGTTATGGGTTAAACAAATTAAAATACTGAATTCAGCGTTGCGTGCATTTGTCATATTTTTTAAGGCTTTCAAGGGGTCGGGGTGGACGTAAGGATGAAAATGGCGGTAGGAGTGAAACTGGGGTGACGTTGGGTTAGGGTTTGGGTTGGCTAGGGGTTTGGGGGTTTAGATTTTTGGGAAGGGGTTGGAAAGGCGCTGGGGTTCTTGGTCTGGATTGGGCTGGGAATGTTGTGGTGGAGGTAAGGTTGGGGTTGGAGGCGGTTGGGGAAGAAAGTGGGTGTTTGGCTTAGAGTTCGGC